TGAAGTATCGTTGTCTCTGAATGAATTTCAAAACAAGTTCTTCAGCGATCACTGAACAAGCTCAGTGTATGATTGCTGGAACTGAAATTACAGATACAGAAATACATCGAAAGGAAAAAAGGATTATCATCAAATCACTGAGAGAGAGGATCAACACCTACTGAGCTTCATCTCTTGGCTGCTAAAAGAATTCTACGGTACCTGCAAGGTACTAAAGAGTTTGGATTGTTCTAMAAGAAGGGAGAGAAGTCGGAGTTGCTTGGTTTTACGGACAGTGACTATGCAGGAGATGTAGATGATCGGAAGAGCACATCTGGGTATGCTTTTATGATGGGRACAGGAGCTGTATCATGGTCGTCAAAGAAGCAACCTATTGTCACATTATCATCCACTGAAGCGGAKCTCGTTGCTGCAACAGGGTGTGCTAGTCAGGCTGTTTGGTTAAAGAATATTCTCAAGGAATTGCTTTGGAAGGAGACTGGGCCGACTCAGATTTATTGTGACAACACTTCCACAATAAAGCTCTCGAAGAATCCGGTGTTACACGGCCGAAGCAAGCATATAGACGTGAAGTATCATTTCTTGAGGGGTCTGACAGATGATGGAGTCATTAATCTCATTCAATGCAGAAGTGAGGACCAAATTGCTGACATTTTGACAAAGCCCCTCAAGTTTCCTGCATTTCAGAAGCTTAGGAAGTTGCTTGGAGTCTGCACATCAATGGAGGCTGGAGTTCCTCATTAAACTGAATGTTTTTCAGTTTAAGGGAGGGATTGTTGAGAAAGTTTAAGTCTGCATCGTGGGTCCTACTTATTTGTTCTTATTTACTTAGTCTTTTATTGTCAGTTTCTTTGTTTATCTAGTCAATAGGAGTATGGAGTGGAATAGTGGGTTAGTGCCTATTTTCTAGTACTTTCAGTTTAATTTATTGCCTATCTATAGGCTGCTTTGTTTGCTTTTGTTTAATCATCAAATAAGAAAGTAGTAGTGTTTGCTTTCCTTCATCCTCTGTTTTCTCTATATACTTGGTGTGTTTATTTTTACTCTTCTCTTTATTTTCTTGACATCTAATGGGATTGTATTTGAGGTCCGGTTCGTACCTCTCTGTTTATTTAACAATAATTCTAACACTAACCTTTTGGTTTAATTATTACTGTAGCCATGGTTTTACTGTCTTACATAGTTTAGTCACAAAGCCTAAACCAGGTTTTCAGGTTGAAATGGGATTGTATTTTACTAGCACATGATCCTTCTAATGGGATTATATTTTATTGTAGCCATGTTTAGTTTCAGTCACAAAGCCCAAACCAAGATTTCAGGTTGAAATGGATGTAAGTTGAAATGGATGTAATGATTCATAATTGGTTCATTGACATGACTAAACTTAATACAATAACAAAGATATGAGAGAAGTTTCCTTCTAAGTTCTAGATAAATGATGTGTATGACACCTTAATTTGTAACATTGCATTAAATCTTTATAAAAAGCTAAATATTTAGGGAATTCCAAAACTGCAAGCACATTTGGTACATGGAACATTATCTCTATCTGTAATATATGCATGTGCATGTGCTATGCCCATATATGCAATGTTTCAGTGCAGACAAAGTTCATTTTTGGTTCTTATGAAGTTGGTTGGCTTTCTATTAACATTTTTCATGTTCAGTCTTCTATATGCAATGTTTCAATGCAGACAAAGTAGTGGCCCCTTCAAGAACTTGCATTATTGATTCAACTCATGATGCCCATTGTGTTACAATTATGTACACGTTATCTTGCTTTTGGTTTAAGGCTTTGTAAATCTAATAACCTTAAATCTCCGCATATCTCTCAAATAATTTGACTCAAACAGATAGTTATGTATATGTTGTTGTGCCAAGTATAAGTTCATTATAATTTTGCTTTGAATATAGATAGATCAAAGTAGTTTGAGTTAATCCTCATATTTAGGATAATGAGTAAATGGTTTTCATGGTTTTGGCGTATTTTGTTTATTTTTTTTATATTAATATTTCATTTGAATTATATTCTTGAATTTCTGGGTTTGTATCATTGTTTAAATTGCTTGTTGAAAAACATATGGTGTTTATTCAGTATGATAATCCATTTGATGGTAAAAACGTAATGATACCCAACTCAACAACAAACCAAGGTAAATTATGCTATATTGG